GTACGGGGCATCTACTCAGTTGCGTCTGGAAGGCACCGAGAGGGACAAAATGGCGCAAATGGTCAAATCAAGGTTTTGTAACGCGAGCTGTGCCACAGTGAAATGGCACTAGCCTTAACCTAATCATGCACACGGGCGCTCCATCCTTCTCCTCTGCCAGCCACGGTTTTTGAGCCCTCCAACCCGGCACCTCCGGCACCCGGCCGAGGGTGCCCCTGCCCCTGGCCCTGGGTATACGGTACTCTAAACTCAACAAAAGGGGGTGTGTGAGGCTACCGACTGCACTCGCAAGTGCTCCAAGTGATGGGAACAGATCCCTCGCAAGGCGCGATATAAAATGAGAGAAATAACTGGCGCGGCGGCAGCGGCGAACTACCTCTCGGTCCACGACTGCATATCCACGACCAACCTCCCCGGGTTGTCGCTCGGCAGCGTGGGAGCGCCCATCGCCGCAATGGCGCCCTCCACGCGCCCTCGCAGGTCGCTGACATGCGTGGCGCGGCGCGACTTGCCCCAGCCAGTGACAACGATGAGCCGGTCCGGCTTGGGCTGCAGGGCTGGCACGCGCTCCTCCAGCCACCACCGCAGCGCCGTCTCGCCCGCGCCCTCCGAGTGATCGTGCAGGTCTAGCTTCGGGGCGCCGGCTTCCCACTTCTCTACCTCGGGATAGAGGCCACGCTCACAGCCCTGTAGCCACAGCTCGCGAGCAATGGCTGGCTGCGGCGACGCGACAGCGTCCAGCACCGCATTGAAGGTGATACGGTCTGGTTCGACCGACCTCAGCGCCTCCTTGAAGAGCCTCAGCGCCTCATCAGGCTGTTGCGCTGCCGCGCACGCCTGAATCGCTGCGCTGTAGCTAATCACGTTTGGTTGCACGCCGTCCTCTCGCATCTTTTGCAGCAGCGACAGGGCATCGTCACAGCGGCCAGCCTTCTCGCACGCAGAGATGGCTGCGCTGAAGCTGATCACATTTGGCCTCACACCCGCAGCAAGCATCTCGTCGAACAGCGACAGCGCCTCATTGCACCGGCTAGCCTTCTCGCACGCAGAGATGGTTGCGTTGTAGCTGAACTCGTTCGGCGGCACTCCCGCAGCAGGCATCTCGCGCAGCAGCGACAGCGCCTTCTCCCATTGGCCAGCCTTCTCGCATGCAGAGATGGCCGCGCTGTAGCTGATGACGTCTGGTGACAAGCCTGCATCAGGCATCTCGCGCAGCAGCAACAGGGCCTCATCGCACCGGCCAGCCTTCTCGCATGCAGAGATGGTTGCGTTGAAGCTGATCACATTTGGCCTCACGCCCGCAGCAAGCATCTCGTCGAACAGCGAGAGCGCCTCATTGCACCGGCTAGCCTTCTCGCACGCAGAGATGGCCGCACTGTAGCTGATCACGTCTGGTGACAAGCCTGCACCAGGCATCTCGCGCAGCAGCGACAGCGCCTTCTCCCATTGGCCTCCCTTCTCGCACGCAGAGATGGTTGCGTTGTAGCTGATGACGTCTGGCTGCACTCCTGCAGCAGGCATCTCGTCAAATAGCGAGAGCGCCTCATCGCACCGGCCAGCCTTCTCGCATGCAGAGATGGTTGCGTTGAAGCTGATCACATTTGGCCTCACGCCCGCAGCAAGCATCTCGTCGAACAGCGACAGCGCCTCATTGCACCGGCTAGCCTTCTCGCACGCAGAGATGGCCGCACTGTAGCTGATCACGTCTGGTGACAAGCCTGCACCAGGCATCTCGCGCAGCAGCGACAGCGCCTTCTCCCATTGGCCAGCCTTCTCGCACGCAGAGATGGTTGCGTTGTAGCTGATGACGTCTGGCTGCACTCCTGCAGCAGGCATCTCGTCAAATAGCGAGAGCGCCTCATCGCACCGGCCAGCCTTCTCGCAGGCTGAGATGGCCGCATTGTAGCTGTAGACGTCTGGTTGCACACCCGCGCCTGGCATCTCGCGCAGCAGCGACACCGCCTTCTGCCACCGGCCAGCCTTCGCACACGCAGAGATGGCTGCGCTGTAGCTGACCTCGTTCGGCGGCACTCCCGCGCCTGGCATCTCGCGAAGCAGCGACACCGCCGTTTTCCAGTCCTTCGACCTTGCGCACAGGTTGATGAGAATGCTGTAGCTGAAGACGTCTGGCTCACATCCGGCCTGCCGCATCTCGTCGAGGAGGCCAAACGCGCGGCGGCAGTCTCCGACCCTGGCGTGAGCCGAGATGAGCTGAGTCCACTCCTTTGTGGTCCTCAGCGGCTGCAGCCTCGCCTCCAGCCGCGCCACATCCTCTCGGCGGCGGCACCGCTTGAGATCGGCAAACAGTAAGCCTCTCTCGCCTCTCTGGCTGCGCGGTTGGGTGCTGAGCAGCCTCGGCGGTGGCGGTAGGGACGGCTGTGCGAAGCGGAGGCCTGCTGGGATCGGCGCTCGTGGCGTGGCAACGGCCGCGAGTCGAGATGACGCGCCTCGCGCCGCGCGGAGCACCACATGCATGTCTGTCCAGAGCACCGCCCGCAACGAGTGGCCAGATTTCGGGCGGCTAAACAAAAGAAATTTCGTCAACTCGCCCAAAAGGCACGCTCTGCGGTCGCGGGAAAGAAGAGGCTGTGGAAAGAAATCGACCCGGACTGCCTAGCTCAGCGACGCAGCGTCGCTGTCCTGACGCGTTCACCGCCGATGAACGACCAGATCTTCGACCTGGCCCAGGGCCTCGTGCCTGCCAACTACATCAAGCAGGCGCGGCAGGCGCGGCAGGCGCGCGAGTCGCTTCTCAAGACGCTCCTCGCGCAGCGCCGCCTTCCCGAGCACGGCTGGGACGAGCCGACTCTCAAGCTGGCGCTGGCCGAGCTGGCGGCGCTCGACTCCAACACCTTCGTTGGCAACGCCGGCGTCGGCGAGCGCGAGGGGCGCGTCATCTGCCCGCTCGTCGCCGCGCGCCACTTTGGGCTCGCGCACGGCATCGGCCGGTCGGGCGACATTGCCGAGGCGCAGCCAAAGGCGGCGGGCTCGTCGCTAATCTACGCGCTGACGAACGCGCTCGCGGCGGACGCCCTTCGTCGCGCGGGAGGCGCCGGCGTCTCCGAGTGCGTCACGCTGCCGCTCGCGACGGGCATGTCGGTGACGCTCACGCTGCTCGCGCTGCGCCAGCTGCGGCCGAACGCGCGGCATGTGCTCTGGCCTCGCATCGACCAAAAGTCGTGCCTCAAGGCGGTGAGCGCGGCGGGCCTGACGCCGGTGCCGATCGAGAACCTGCTCGACGGCGACGAGCTGCGGACAGACCTCGACGCGCTCGCCGCGAAGCTGTCGGAGATCGGCGCAGACGACGTGCTCTGCGTGCTCACGACAACGTCATATCTCCCCATATCTCCCCGTGTAGAGCGACGCCTCATCGATCTCTCCCCATATCTCCGCACATCTCCCCATATCTCCCCATATCTCCCCATATCACCCCATATCTCCCCATATCTCCCCATATCTCCCCATGTAGAGCGACGCCTCATCGACAACTCCCCATATCTCCCCATATCTCCCCATATCTCCCCATATCTCCCCATGTCCATTGTCCATGTAGATCGTGCTTTGCCCCGCGCGGTGTCGACAAACTTCTCGACGTCGCGCGCCTCTGCGCCGAGCAAGGCGCGCCCCACCTCTGCAGCAGTCGCGATACCGCACCACCCACGGGACTGAACCCACGCAGGGTTCGATACTCTGGAGGTGTGGTACTAGGCGTGCCCCACCTCTGCAACAATGCGTACGGCGTGCAGTGCGACCGCTGCATGAAGGCCACCGCCAGCGCCTCAACGCGGGCAGGTGTTTCTTGTTGGGCCAGCCGGTTTCTTTTCTCTTTTCCAGGCCATCGCCAGCGCCTCCCGCCACGGCCGCCTCGACTGCTTCATCCAGTCGACCGACAAGAACTTCCTTGTCCCAGTCGGCGGCGCGATCGTCGCCACCGCCGACGGCCGGCACGGGCCGGAGCTGCTGGCCAAGGTGCGGTCGACGTATGCCGGCCGCGCCTCGATCTCGCCCCTCCTCGACCCTTGTTTTCCGGCCGTCCACGTCGTGTTTTTTCTTTTTTCTAGGCCGCGCCTCGATCTCGCCCCTCCTCGACCTTTTTTTTTCGGCCGTCGACGTCGTGTTTTTTCTTTTTTCTAGGCCGCGCCTCGATCTCGCCCGTCCTCGACCTCTTTTGCACGCTGCTCCACCTCGGCGCCGACGGATGGCTGCGCCTCCTCGAGCGGCGGCGGGCGTCACACCCCTCCCATCCCACCCTCCCATCACGCCCTCCCATCCCACCCTCCCATCAAACATCACACCCTCCCATCGCACCCTCCCATCCCACCCTCCCATCACACCCTCCCATCACACCCTCCCATCGCACCCTCCCATCCCACCCTCCCATCGCACCCTCCCTCCCACCCTCCCATCACACCCTCCCTCCCGCCCTCCCATCAAACATCCCACCCTCCCATCACACCCCTCCTCAGGCGCGCCTCCTTCCCGGACTTTCGGCGCAAGCTCGAGGCGGTGGCGGCCAAGCACGGCGAGAGGGTGCTGCACACGCCAAACAACGGCATCTCGATGTCGGTGACGCGCACGAGATTGCACGAGATTGCACGAGATTGCACGAGATTGCACGAGATTGCACGAGAGTGCACGAGATTGCACGAGAGTGCACGAGATTGCACGAGATTGCACGCCAAGCAGCGGCATCTCGAAGCCTTCTCGGAACCTTCTCGGAGCCTTCTCGGAGCCTTCTCGGAACCGCCCTAGGTGACGCTCACGCCGCCGGAGGGGTCCAAGCCCGCCGGCTCGCTCGGCGTCGATCGCGCTTCGTGCGGCGCGGATCACCTGCTTGCTCTCGTCGCCCCACCCGCGGCTCTGTCCCTTTGTCAGGCGCCTCGTGCAATCTCGTGCAATCTCGTGCAATCTCGTGCAATCTCGGGTTCTGGCCCTTTGTCAGGCGCCTCCCTCTTCGTGCGGCTCGTGTCGGGGCTGCGCGTCGTCACGCCCTCTGCCGCCGGCAAGACGGTCGGCGGCATCTCGGAACCTTCTCGGCACCTTCTCGGAACCTTGCCGGAACCGCCCCATAGGCAAGACGGTCGGTGGCATCCCCTTCGAGTCTTACGGCGCGCACTACTTCAGTCTCTGACAATCTCGGGCGCACTTCGGCCAATCTCGGGGCACAATCTCGGCCGATCTCAGGTCCGTGGACGCGTCCAGGACATGTCCATGTCCATGTCTCCCCCCCCCCCGCCCTCCCCCCAGGCGCGCACTACTCGGGCTACCCGTGCGCGTACTTTTCTGTCGCGTGCGCCATCGGCATCGCGGACGGCGACGTCGACCTCTTCCTGCGCCGCCTCGACAAGGCCGCTCGCTGCCCCGCATACTTCTTGATGGTCCCCGCAATCACACACCGCTCACCCACGCGCACCGGGCCTTGCACTTTGAATGCCGTGGGGCTCCTGTCGTTAGACGTGGAGACGCGAGGGTCGCCCCCCCTTGCCCCACCGGCTCATGTGAGTGGAGAAGTTTACCTTACCTTGCCTAGGCGCTCGCCGAGTGGAAGAAGCCGCCGCGCCAGCCAAAGGCAAAGGCGGGCGGCGCGGACGGCGCAGCGGGGAACGGGTCCTGCGCCGCCAAGGACCGGGACTTCGCGAAGGACTTCCGGCCCAACCCCTCCGCCAAGGAGTTTGTGCCGGCCGCGCAACCCGCGCCCTGCATGACAGCGGCGCCGCCCTGCTCCGTGGAGAAAGCGGAGGAGAAGGGGGCGGCGGCCGAGTGAGCGCGTGTGGCGCGGAGCATGCAGCGCACCCACTGACGAAGCCACGTACAATTATTTTCCCGCGCGAGAGCACCTGCAGGATCACTTGGCAGATTCAATTTTGTTGGACGCGTCCCAATAAAGGGGGGTTGTTGCACGAGTAAATATGGGACAAAAGCGCGTCGAAAATGTGTCCCAAAAAGCGCGTCTCGAGTTTGTGGCAGCTCCGCAGCCAGCGCGGGCTGCGAGGACGCACCGCTCGCGCGTTCTGTGCACTCAGTGGGACCCTGAGTGCGTGTATCCAACTGGAGTGAGTAGGCTCGACGCCGTACTCGAGATGGAGCTGCCACAAACTCGCCGCCGAGCGTGCCACCGAAGGCGTCCCGTAGGAGGTGATAAAGTGTGAGACCTGAGGCTGCGGAGGTGACGCCTGAGGTACCGGCCCGTGCACAGCGACTCAGCCGGCGACCGCCACGGGCTCAGACGAGACTTGTCGACTCGTTACGGCTCAGCTTCACCGTGGTCATCGGGCGTCTGTCGACGTCAGGACCACCCATACAGCTCGCGGGTTTGAGGTCGCAAGAGCCAAGATGGTGGCGTTTGGACATCCCAACCATCACACAAGACAGCCTGTAGGCGATGGCGGGACGGCGCAGTGTTTGTGGCACTCGGCAGTAGGCACCCTATGATGTAACTTATTCGGACCCCCCCCTACGCGCTTCTCGTTTTTCGTGCCAAACCAGCCGATCTCGGCCCGTCGTCTCCGCTCGCGCCGGCCGCCCATGCGCTCGCGGGGCTGGCCGACGGCGCGGGCCTCTTGCCGATGGACCCAGCCGAGGTGCCCGGCCAGTCGGAGTGGCGCTGACGCGCCGCGCGCGACCACCAGCCAGCTTTCCGGCCGGGCCGAGAACGGTGCCTCGAGAATGTAGACACTCCAAACAGTTGTCGAGTTTTTTCCCTCTTTTTGAGCGCCGCTGCTGCACACCCAGCCCACCAGTGATACGAGACGCACCGGATCCAACCCTGGCAGCGCTTGACCGTCACCCCGGTGACCGCCCACAGGTGGCTGATCGCGGCTCCACTCATCGCTGCTTTCGCGCGCCTGCTCCACAGAGGGCTCCTGCGGCTCTCCCTCGTCGCGTGACCGCCGCCGACATCATGTACTCGGTCGTCCCCGCCGGCGCGGAGCTGCGCCACGTCGAATTCTTCGGTGGCTCGACCGCCGGCGCGCCCAACCTCGCCTCCTGCGCGCCTCACACCCAGTATTCACCTCGCGCGCGGCCGACAAAGTGAGCGTACGACCACCTCCCTCTCAATGACGCTCTGACCGATGCACAGCCCATTCGTTCTCGCCGAGAGGGCGCTCGGAGCGCCCAACTTTGCCTCGTGCGGCCATCAAACAGGCGCGTTGCCTCCCATCTCCGCACTTCCCATCTACCCCCACACTACCACTGCCGGGGACGCGCAGATGCGACTCCCGGGCCCGCTCACCTCACCCGCCCCGCCGACCAGGCACGGCCCGACGAGAACCCGCCGGGAAGGAGCTGGCCGAGCCATCGCCGGCCTCCCTGCCGGCTCACGGCCGCTCAAAAGGTCGCGGACCCGCCCGTCGCTTGCCGCCCCTCTCCCAGCCGTTGCCGGCGACGGGGTCACGAACCTAGTGCTCAGTTCCGTCTTCCTCCCCCTCGCTCCTGTAGGTAGGCCGCCCCGCGCAGGCGGGAAGAGGCGCGCCGAGCCATCGGTGACGTCCTGGCGAGCTCATGTCCCCCCAAAAGGTCGCACCCGCCCGTGGCTCCGCCGTCGGCTCCGCCGCGAGCGGCGACGGTGAGGCCGCCGGGGCTCGCCTATACCGGCTAGTGTGGAGCTCTCAGTGTGGTTGCGTGTTGTACTAGTGATGCTGCCCTAGGCGGCCCGTTTTTAGCAAAAACCAGATACCACATCGCGTGTGGTCGTCGAAAAACCGCATGTTCGCCCGTCTGGGACCTTTCGTACGGCTCCAAAAACCGCTCCTTAACGACAACTACGCGGCCCGGCGGTCGATCTGCGCCTTCTCAGCGGTGGAGGGGATGTGGGCGGTACGTGCGGACCGCGTGGTGCTGCGATGGCTTGACGAGTGCGACTCCCAGCGTCGACTTTGCGACCCCACGGAGCCTCTGCTGCTCCGGGGGGGGGGGTCTGCAGACCACCCGGCCGAACTTCAGAGTGGCGGTACTCCTCAAATACCGCTCAAACGCCCACGATGTTGTGGAGGGGACATATGCTGATGATCCCGGCCCGATTGGTTCGCTCAGAAAGCTTCTGGGCGGTCGTTAAGGTTCGCTCCCCGCACACCGGCCCCGGAATAAGTTACATCATAACCCGCGGCACGGCCCCGCTGTCGGCTCTCGCGGGCTGCGGAACCGGCCCCAGAAGGGGACGGTCCGGGCGAGTGTGGCAGCTCCTGCGCTAGTATGGGCACCCTCTATCACAACACTACCGATCCTGGTCATTAGAGCTGCCAGGGATAGCGTCAGGAGCCGGTAGGAGTCAAAACCTCTCATATTTGAGACATCGTGTCCCATATACTCGTGCAACATGCCTGGGACGAGCGATCGCTGTCTGGCGCGTCGGGATGCCCAGCAGCGAGCTTCAGCAAATGCGAAATGGTCGCGCTCAAATGTTACACGCGCTTAACAAAAGTCCCGCACTTGCCACTTCACTTGGGAGCACTGTGCGCCACTGACAACCACTGTGGGCTCGTTGTGCGAGTATATGGGACACGATGTGGTCTCAAATATGAGGGGTTTTGACTCCTACCGGCTCCTGACGCTATCCCTGGCAGCTCTAATGATCAGGGGATCAGTAGTGCTATGATGGAGGGTGCCGATACTAGCGCAGGAGCTGCCACACTTGCCCGGACCGTACAGTTGTACTCATTCGGGAAGTCGGTGCTAGAGTAATACTTAGAGACTAATACGTAATAGAGCCGGAGCCCCGTTTCCGCACTGCTGCGCGGCGCACGGTGCCTCCGGGGGCCCCCGCGCCCCCCCAGAGGGCGCTGGGGGCGACCGTCGCACGGTCCCCAGTACTGCTTCTCGTCAAATGTTAAAGAAAATATTGACCCCGTAGATCTACATCTGATGTGCCGGACGGAGACTAGAGGCCTTCCCATCGCCGCATGCTTGCTCTGCGTCCCAGTGCACACTCACTAAGCACTCAAAACGTACTGGGACAGAGCCCCTGCCGGGACCCGACCCTCCTGATCCCTGAGCCCCTAGCGGCGGGCTCGCTCATGGCGGCGCGAAGCCGAACTTGACAAACCTGCCCGCGTGCCCGGGCTTCATCCCCGTCTCCTTGGCTACGTCCGCCCGCTCGGCGGCGTCCAGTCCGCGCAAGAACGAGATGTCGTCGTAGCCCTCGGCGTCAAAGGCGGCGGCGTAGGCCTGCAGGTTGACCTGCGCCAGCGCCGCGGCGACGGCCGCCATGCCGCCCGTGGGCGGAGGGGGCGTCTCCCTCAGCACGGTGCGCCCGTCCGGCGTGGTCGTGAACAGGCGGCTCGAGAGCGGGGAGGGGCCGGCAGGGGCGGCGGTGGAGGTGGAGGCGGCGGCGGTGGAGGTGGAGGCGGCGGCGGTGGAGGTTGAGGCGGCGGCGGCGGTGCGGGCGGCGGTGGCGGGCGCGGCCAGTGCAGTGGCGGCGGTGGGGGCGGTGGGGGCGGTGGAGGAGGTGGCGGAAGAGGAGGAAGCGGCGGGAGGGGTGGAGGAGGAGGAGGCTGCCGAGGGGGCGGCAGCGGCGGCGCGGCTTGAGCGCCGCTTCGGCAGCGGCGCGTCGGTCGGCTCGAGCAGGCGCTTTGCTGGGCGGGGCCGGGCGCCGCTGCCGCTGGCAGCGGCGGCGGCGGAAGAGGAGCCGCGCTCCGGTGCCTCCCCGACCGCGCGCGCGTACGCCACCGCCGCCTCCACCACCGTGCCGAAGAGGCCGAGCGAGACCCGCCTTCCGTCCACCTTGCGCTGCGCCTGGAAGCGGCCGGTTGGGTGCTTGCACACGTTGTTGTAGCCGGTCACGTTGCTGCTAGAGAGGTGCAACCGCAGCCCCTCCGCCTCCGTCGCCACCGTCGGAGGAGGATGAGCCGGAGGCTGGTACTCGCCGACCGCTCGCGCATATACCACCGCAGCCTCCACCGCCGTGCCAAAGTGGCCGATCGAGACCAGGCTTCCGTCCACCCTGTGCTGCGCGTAGAAGCGGCCAGAGGCATCCTTGTGCACGCCCTTGTAGCCGTTGCTGTTGCTGCTGGACAAATGCAGACGCAAACCCTCCGCGACCGCCACTGGCGCCTCCGCTGCCGCCGCTCCTTCATCTAGCGGCGCCGGCTCCTCTGCCCCTGCCGCCGCCGCCGCGACGACCGCCTCCTCCACCGACGGCTCGGCAGCGGCTGCGCCTTCTGCCGCCTCACCCAACGGTAGCGGTGCCACCGACGCCTGCCCTGCTGCTGCCGCCACCGCCGAGCCTGCTTCTGGCGCCTCCCCGACCGCCCGCGCGTACGCCACCGCCGCCTCCACCGCTGTGCCGAAAAGGCCGCCGACGTGGACCTTTCTTCCGCGCACATTGTGCTGCGCCATGAAGCGGCCACTGTAATGCGTAGTCACCCCCTTGTAGCCGGTGCCGCCGCTGCTAGAGAGGTGCAACCGCAGCCCCTCCGCCTCCGTCGCCACCGTCGGAGGAGGAGGAGGCTGGTACTCGCCGGCCGCCCGCGCATAGGCCACCGCCGCCTCCACCGCCGTATCGAAGCGGCCTATTGTGACCTTCCTTCCGCCCACACTGTGCTGCGCGTGGAAGCGGCCGTTGTCCTTGTAGCCACTGGACACGCCCTTGTAGCCCGTGCTGCAGCTGGACAAATGCAGACGCAAACCCTCCGCGACCGCCACGGGTGGCGCCGCTGCCGCCGCCGCCGCTCCCTCCTCCAGCGCCGTCGGCTCTTCTGCCCCTGCCGCCGGCGCCGCGACCGCCTCCTCCTCCACCGACGGCTCGGCAGCGGCTGCGCCTTCCGCCGCCTCACCCAGCGGTGCCGCCGACGCCTGCCCTGCTGCTGCCGCCACCGCCGAGCCCGCTTCCGGCGACTCGCCGACCGCCCGCGCGTACGCCACCGCCGCCTCCACCGCGGTGTCGA